TGCTGCGGCTCCTCGGACCGCTGGGACGGTTCTGCTGCTGCTGCTGCTGCTGCTGGAGTCTGCTGCTGCTCCTGGTGCTGTATGAGGCCATTCGTAGAACGCGGGCTTTCTACTGGCTTTTGCTGCTGCTGCTGCTGCTGCTGCTGCTGCTGCTGCTGCTGCTCTTGAAGCGGCGACTGTAAAGCGTTCGGCCTAGGTGACTCCTTCACCTTCTGCTGCTGCTGCTGCTGCTGCTGCTGCGGGCTGCTGTTCTTCTTTCCTGCTGCTCCTTTCAGCAGCCTATCTCTAAAGCTGCCCCCCGGCAGCAGCTGCTGCTGCTGCTCGACAGCAACGCTGCTGGGGGGTGGAGGGGGTGGGGGCGGCTGCTGCTGCTGCTGCTGCTGCTGCTGCTGCTGCAGCTGCGGCGTCTGTGACAGCTGCTGCTGCTGCTGCTGCTGCGGTGTACGCGAAGCAGCAGGCGTGCTTGGGGTGTACTGGGGCCCCCAGCGGCGTGGAGGGTGGGGCCCCGAGGGCCCGCCCCTTTGCTGCTGCTGCTGCTGCTGCTGTTGCTGCTGCTGCTGCCTTGTCTGCTTAGGATGGCGCTGCTGCTGCTGCTGCTGTTGCTGCTGCTGCTGCGGAGACGCATAAACTGCTGCGTATCCATAGGGGGGGTAGCCCTGCTGCATGTGTGGTGTACGTGCAGCTCCTGCTGCTGCAGCAGCAGCAGCTGCTGCTGCTGCTGCTGCACCATAGAAAGCCGGGTGCTGCTGCACTGCGCATACAAACCCTGCTGCCGGTGCAGCTGCTGGTGTTGCTGCTACCGGCGTTGCTGCTGCTGCTGCTGCTGCTGCTGCTGCTGCTGCTGCAGTGCCCTGCATTACATAGGGACGCCCAGGCACGAACTCCTGAGCGTTGCGGTTGAACTGATAAGCCTTTCCGCTGCTGGTGCTGCTGCTGCTGCTGCTGCTGCTGCTGCTGCTGCTGTTGCTGCTGCTGCTGCTGTTCTCGCTGCTGCCGCTGGCCCCGCTCCCCTGCTG